CCCCACGAATAGATGAAATTTGACGGACTAAGAATCACTGCAAGAAGCGATTTTATCAACCAGAATGTAACTGTTGATGTCGGTGGTAGATGGCACATTTCAATCAAAAGAATAACTGATCGTCGGCGTATGAATTCGATCTGAATCAGTGCTGCTTCGTGCGTATAGTAATCATGTTCGGTATCAATCGTATATCGAGTTGTTCTTCTGGCTAATTCGATTAAATCATGTAATAAGGACGGAGCTGTTGCTCGATTGACACGGTATGCTTGCCAATCGTTGAGTGGTACGAATGGAGGTAAAACGCTTAGTTGTCTGTTCAAGAGCCGTTTTCTTGCCACGCTGGATCGGGTCGAATTTAATTGGTTCATTGTATACTAATGTGTCTGAAACAAAGGAAAAAAATGAACAAAGAGTGGTCGTAGTAGATTGGAAAGAGAGGATGTTCTAGTTTATTCATTGCCATTTAACAAAAATACAATATGCACTACAAGAAAGGGTTATGTACGAGACGATAGCAAAGCGTTGAGTGTATGAACATGTTTTGTCGTTAGTTGAATCTTCGATTTCTCATCGCAGAGTGTCGGATGTGAGGCGAAATGCTTTGACCATAGTTCATGAAAGTATCGATTGAATTCACACCACGGCCCGTAATCATAGTAATAGTTGAAGCGAGCTATTTGATTGTTATCATTCAATTCTTGAAGTTGTGTTGATCGTTGCATTTGCAACTCGAAGTAGTCGAAGAAGTGTTGTACATGACTTTCAACAAAGTAAAATGAATAGCCATTGGCCAGATACGTTAATTCAAGATAGATGCGTTCCTGATGAAAGTCTTCAGCTGATGAACAATAGCAAACAGCTCGAAGAAGTGCTGATCGAAGCCACTCGCTATGTCGCATTTTGGACTGACTAACAACGTACGGTAATGTGTAACGTAGTGCCATTGGATCATGATACACTCGAGTGTTGAGTTCACTCTTTCGATTTTCAATGTAAGCATTCCAATAGTGGACGTTTGAGCCAGTGGCTAATCGGAAACGAACGTTTGGTTGCCTTTGTCTCAGCGACTGATTCCATGTGAAAAAGATACGATCTTGGTTTCTAGAAGATAGAAACCATCTGAATGGTTGATCATGACTGAGGGAAACGGATGAGTTTACCTTCCGAACAGTTCTTGATTGTATTCAAATTGATTCAATATTGATTTTTGCCAATCATACAGGTAAATGTTAGCCAAGGTTTCAGTTAATGGCACAGTGCTTGGACTGCCCTTTTTCATAGTGTAAATTTTATTTTGGAATGAAAAAAGATTGTTGTAGAGGTAGAGCTGTAAGAGATTTTTAATGGTGTTAATGGATATTTGGTTGACTTTGTTGTTGGCTGATTTGTCTTGTAAGAAAAAGATGATGGTGTCAATCATTGCATGATGTTCATCTAGCGAATAGAAGTTCGTCACATGAATCGTACAGAACAGAGTTGTTGGTTTGAGGCGACGTTGGTCACATGCATAGGTGATAAGTTTTCTCATAAAATCCGCTTCATTGTAGAATGTCACTGGCTTCATCTTCTCGTCAGCAAATGGCCGAATCAGTTGGTTGACATACCTGGCAATGTTTGATGTTATGCTCTGAGCTGCAACGATCATTGGCACAAGTGACATCTCGCTGCTCTGTCCAAACAAAACCAATGAATGACAGTGTCACGAAAACCGATTGGAGACAATACTCACTTTGGAAATATCCGGTAGAAAATACAGATGAGGTAGTTTGACCTTGTTTGGCTCGGTTGTAAGCTTGCTGATAGCGTCATGATTCAACGCTTTCCATTTTTCCAAAGTTTCCAATGCGAAGTTGATTGCTTCAATTCTTCTACTCAGTAGATATTGCGGATCCTGTGGTGGTTGTGATTGCTGCTATAGTAAGTCATCGTCATCGTCGTCGTTGTCGTCCATGCCTTTGCTGCCATCGCCAATGGACACTATAAATTCATAGATATCGGCTGATTTTGCCATGTGTTTGTTTGCTTTCGCGTCGAACTCGTCTCGATTGTCGAGTGTTCGTTGCAGAATAAGATTGTTGAGTCTGAGACAAGAGTGTATCGATTGAACTAATTTCATCTCGTACATGGTGCGTTGCTGAACATCGTGTGGAATTTAAATGGAAAAAAAGATCAGTAAATTTTTTATGGATATTTGAATGGATATCCCATGACGAAACAATATTGATACGATGTTTTGAAAGAAGACCAGCTATTTGATGTTTCAATGGTGCATACTGTTTCTTGACGATGTCTACAACTGACGTGCTTGTTAGATTGGAAGATGGTGAGAGGAGTCGTGACTGGCACGGTGGCACGTAGCATGGTCCTCTACTGAATAGTTGTATTTGTTTCATATTCAATCCATGCATTGTATCACTAATCACATTCGACAGAAATGTATTGCTGTTCACTTGTTGGTTAGGTTCTGTTTGTTTGTACATGTTTCCTAGATCGCCATAAGAACTCCGAAGCAAGAAATTGATTCGATAATAATGAATATTTCGTAATCGATCGGTAATATTGCTGAGACGTTGTTCCAGCAAACTACTTAACGCCGTTGTCATTCCATTGTTTCGTACAAAATTGCGATGATTATTTAGCATTGTAGTGTATTCGATGTTGATTTCTCGTCTGCTTGATGATACCTGATTTCTGCTCGAATCACATGTGGTACGAGAGAATAAAGTTTCTCTCGTTTACATATTTTCTCATGTTTATCCTCGAGTAAGAGTTTATGGGCAATACTGTAAGTTGTTGCCGAGTCGGCCAATAACGATGGCGATGCGCCAATATCTTTGAGTCCAGAAAGAAATTTGTAGTAGAATACTTGCTGTTTTAACTCGATTAATTCACGTTTCGATTGTTCCAGTTTATGTTTCGCTGTACATAGCCGTTGCGCTACTTGAACCTAAACGAGCAGAGTATGTTGATGTGAACACTAGAAGGAGTAATCGCATTTCTATGATTTACTCGATATTCATTTGGATTTTCCAGTTCATATTTCCTTTGAAGTATGGTAGCATTGTAATCATGTCTGAGCAAGGCTATTTTGAGATCAGTTTTCATTTGAAGTGGAATTATGCCATAACGTTGCACATACTGTATGATTGTATCTTCCATGGCTAATGTAAATCCAATTAATTGTCTTCGTTTGTCTTCCAGTTGCTTGTTGTATTGCTCGACCTTGTCCTTGATCTCTTCTAACCGTTCAGTAACAAGATTTTCACATTCGAGATGTTCATAGGCATGTACCAATACCAATACTCTTGAGTTTTGGTATTGACGGTATTGATAGATATTGGAATATTGACAGTATTGGTGTTGTCAATATTGGTATTGAAAATATTGGTATTGGTACTGAAGTGTTGACTTACGAAAATATCTTTTATGTTCTTCAAAAGCTGTCGTACTTATAACTATCATTTAAGTTATGAAACGTAAACTGAGAGAAAATTCCTGTTGGCATACATCAACTGAATGTTGTTCGTTTTTTTCAGATGCTTTTCAAATGTTGATGTTACGCGTACCAGGTTTGACTTAATTTCACCACTATGATTATTTGGTTAACTCAAGATCGCAACTAGACACGTTCATCAGTTGTTGAAAACTGGTTCAATGCCCATATAATTCGCTGACTTAGAAATGTGAACGGAACTGGTTGATCAGTTCATTTTATTTGAACTTGAATTTAAGACTTTTTTCTCGTATCAGTTCAATTTGAGTGGAAGCAGGAAGAAAGGAATTAGATAATCGTTGTGTATAGAAAGAGGAAGAAGCGAGAAAAAGGAAGAAGATGAGAGACGAAGAGAGAATCGGGGAAGAGGAAAGAAACATATACCAAGGTCGTCATCAGTGCCTAAGGAAAAAGAAGAAGTGTACAATCATAGATTGTCACATCAAGGACCTAATTTTGAAGCACTCCCTTGAAAAATTCTTTTCTCATTCTCATGCATCTTTCCAATGTAATAAAATGAATAATTCATATATGCGTCGGTCTAAAATACCAATTTTCAAGCATTCTCTCACGTAAACAGTGGGAAGCATGCTTTCCCATCTACATTTCTTCCTAGAAAAGGCCAAAGTTCATTTTCTCTCAACGCCTATATAAACCAGCATCATTTTCATTACAATATTCAGTTTTCATTTGCTCCAAAAGGAAGTTCTATACTTCTTCTAAACTACACAATAAGCACTATTTCAAATTATCTACAGGTCTCAAATAGCAAATTCAAATATGAATCAATCATGTTAAATTATACAAAAATAGAATCTAAAGAAATTTCACATCCGTTACGAATCAATCAAGCAGCCTCAATTCATCGAAAATTATTTTCATCCGAAAATCCTCCAAACTGAATGAACATCAGTCTTCGCTTGCAGCCAATACCAACAATAAATGAAAACAAATTTATAACCATCAATTCATAACTCTGGAGAAAATTAGTAAAAGCATCTACATTCATATATTGTGATTTCAACCTCACCAACAACCACGAAATCCACAAATCTAAGGTCACCCTAAAAAATATTCCGTATCCGACAACAGGAACCGTTCAGATAGGTTGACCCAGTACTTCCCACGCCTCTAAACATAACAGTCAAAAGTTTATTTAATACATCATACAAAGAAGAATATTCTTCTTTCACACGGTTCATTTCCATTATACCAGAACACAACAGGAAATGTAGTAAGACGACATAAACTGTTGATAATCATTCTCACTTTTTCAAATACAATTTTGAAAATATTTATTTTAAGTTAAATTATACGAAATTATAGGTCATCTCATGAGCCTTCTTGAGCAAAAGACGAAACCGGTCATGGCAGCTCATCTCACACCCACACCCCTCACATCCAAAATCTATGATGGTACGTTTTTTCCCACTGGTTGCCGTCTTCATCTACTATCATTTCTGTTCTGTTCTTCTGCTTCAAATGTTTCATCATCTCACTAGCATGTCGCTATGACTACCTCCGTGATCAATACACAAAAACACTTGCTTATTGACTCGAGGCAGTCGCCTGCATTTGCGCAAGCGTGATTCTCTCCTGGAATAAAAAACAATAGTACCGCTTATCATAAGCAATGATTGATTATTTTAGGTGTTTGTACCAAATAGAATAAAAATACAATGAATAAATTAACACTTGAATTTAAATTACTGATTGCTATTTGATTTGCACTAATGATCATTAATTGAAAACAAGTTTTAATACATCTTTCATACTTTCTCGAGTCGTGGATTCTTACTGAATCTTTAGTTAAAATAGCCACAGCATTCGGCAAAATTATTTTCCTTCTTATTGTGTGCTAAAACACTGAGTGCACTACTAGAATCGGTGTGTGGGTGAAATTTCACCCAAGCACTTATATGCTTGAAAACACTATGAAACTTTTCATGCTGCTTCCCTAGATCTAGAAAACATCGCATGAGTATTCACACACTATCGATGAGACTGAGTGTTGAGGGTGAGGGTACATTTCACTCAGACCACTCAGCTGCTAGTCATGGGGTCTATTCTATAGATATCGTCATTAAAGTTTGCACGATGAGAAGAAAACGAACGAAGATAGCAAGAATGAATGGGAGCTGATGGACTAGGGTGAAATTCACCCAAACAATCTTTGTATGCTTTAATGCTAACAAAGGCATTCGAGATGCGTTGGAACTTCTAACTTGGAAGTTGCAAAGGATAGAAATCTGTGCTTCAATTGAAGAGGGTCGAAGCGTCATCAATATGTTACTAAGAGCATATTACAAATATTCCACTGTTATACTACACTGAAAGAGTGAGCGTATCACTAGAACTAATCAGTGTGCTCTCTACCGTTGGTCTACACGATAGCTCCTAAAAGGCTAATTTGATGGAGATGAAACTTTGGATGGCATATTGTGACATCGAAATCTTGCTAATATTTGGGGAGGAGGCCGTTTGGGTGAATGATTCCTGAGTTTTTGAAAAAACTCGAAATTTTTCTATGACTTCCTGTTTACTCCATCTGATGCGCTTTGTGCAATACACCTACCTTTCGGATAAAATCCGAAGTTCCCGCATTTATTTCTCATTGCTGCAAAATTTCATATTTACTATCTGACATAAAAATGGTATTATCAACAAAGCAAGTTTGATGTATATACATGAAAGATTCTTTATCCGTGTGGATAGTTCTACTCTTGTTATTTTCTGACATATGACATTTTCAGTCTGAAATGTTCTGAATCAACATCGGGTACCTAGTGGGGGCGCCAAGGGAGGTGGGCTGACGGGGGCTGAGCCCCCTTTAAATGAAAACCCAGGCGCCGCCTCTACGGGTACCTCCGCTAGTTTATCAATAAAGAAAATGAGAAAGAGCTTATTCAGTTTGCTGTACTAAAAAGAAGGCTGTGCGTCTAGCAGATGTCACAGTAAAAACGAGTTGATGTTGGTTCTTCCATGCTTCAGTTTGTTCCTTCGTTTTTCTTCCACTATTACCTAGTACCAGTTGACAGTAGTAAAGTTTGCCCGAAAGGTAATGGAGGTCGGGCATCTCATATCTGAGGTTAGTTTCTTATTATCCCTCAAGCTTCGACTTCTCTTCCTTTCTCTTTTCAAAGCAAACTTTTTTCTGTGGCTTTTTAAAAATCTTCTCTATTCCGGGATGTGACGTGGGAGACGATAATAGTTTAAAAGTTTACACAAGAAAGATTTAGTATATGTTTTGCATTATTATATTTATAACTCAAAAAAACAGAGAAAGTGATATGAGCTTAATATCATTTTGCTATGTACTCTGCTACACGTCAGGTCTTTGGTTAGGAATTTAGTGGAAGTATGTCGAAAAAAGATATGCCGTCAGTGCAATTTCATCTTATTAGCTACACAGACATCGACTATACAAATAGTATTCTAAACAGACGGAGCACTATGATGCATGTTTTCTTGACGGCAAATAATAAAATAAAACTGTTTATCTATTTTCTCTTTTGATAAACAAATGAATGGAAGGTTACCACTTTGGGAACTTTGAGCATCTACGAAACGTTTCTGATGGGTTTGGTAGAATACCTTCCTTTTTTTTCAATGTAGTTATTCCTTTTAAGAGTTAGTCAAAGGTGAAAGACATAGCGGAAGTAGCCGTTAGTTTGAGAAGATTTCAGAGTACAAAATGAGTGTGAGTAAAAGACTGAGGCAAGTTATCAAATAACTGCATCTTTGAAATGAAATAGTTTTTACTTATTTCTTTTCAGGAATATAAGATGTCTGATGATATCATTTCAGTAGAGGCTCAGCGGCTACTAAGCCATGTTACTTGCAATAACTCTTCGTATTATTAATTGTAAATTCATCAATGTCTTTTTATTTATCGGAGAAAAAGAACATTAGAACTCACTTTTAAAATAAAGGTCAAAGCGCGATCAAAGTGACACCGTAAAATTAAATTGATATATTTAGAATTGACGGCAATCATTTACTGGCTAAAATAACAAATAATTTTCCGACTTTTTTGTCTTGAAATACGTTTTATTTGATAAATGTATTCTTTTTTTGTTTAAACAATTTTGAATCGGAAGAAATTTTCTTGTACGCACAATAAATTCAAAAAGAGCGTTTCTATTTCTATTGAGTTTATATTAATTCAAAGATTTCTGTTAACTATCTGAAAAAAAATAAATCAAACGAGAAATTTGTAAATGAATGCTTTTCGAAAGGATATTTTATTAATAAATTTTTCTAAAGCTTTGTTGCCGGAAAATAAATCGAAGTATTGTTTATTTAATAAAACATCATAGTCCTTCTCGCAAAGTTTGTTTTATGTCAAGAACGCTCTGTTCTAGACAAACAAATTAAGTTCGAGTAAATAGATTGAAGAGAAATATATAGACGAGTAATTCCTTGATGATTTCTCATTTTTTTTTCAAACACATCAGTCTGTAAACGTATTTCATTTATCGATTGTTATACTTTTATTATTCTCATTGAATAATATCAATACAACATAATAAGATAATTGATTCACAATGACATCAATTTCTTACTGGAATCTATGGTTATTCTGGATAATTATTGGACAAGTATTAGGTAAATAAATATGCCCAGGTGAACAAATCCGACGAAATCCGATATGGGATTTGTCGACCCGGGCATATGCAAGTAGTGTTCGTCGAACATTGATTCCCTATTCCCACAGACCGTTCAGGCAGATAGTTTTAGGTCATGAGCAACTGCTAATGTCAGTTGAAGATCGATTTAATTGAGGGTAGTCTCCGATCGATGGAAATTACCTGATATCTTTATGCTTAAATTATAATAATAACTTTTGAAAACAAAATAATCAATCCTTTTGTGTACCCAAAAAGTGAGTAAACAGCTAACGTTGAAAGGTCACCAACTTTAAAATCGCTTTCGAGTTGAAACTTCGCTCAGTGTAGGTAATCGGTCACGCTGACTCCGAAAAACATGGTCTTTACGACTAATGCTTCCACAAAGGCCAGGTTTTCTAAAAACCAGACTCTCAGAAAACCTAAATTTCTCTAAATGTTAAGAGTGCGGGTAAAAAATTTTATGATGGGAACCAATGTTGAAATCGAGGTATGTGATTGTTAGACGAATCTGCCTGGGCTTTTCGGATGTTTGGGCGGTGAGGGAGAGACTTTTTCCGAAATTTTGTTTTTGGAAACAGTGTCAGCTCGGTTGGAACGTGTACTGAACTTAATCGGCTCAAGAAAGCGTCGAATTCTGCTCCAATATATCCTACGTCGTCCAGAACTATTTGACAGACAAGCTATTTTTGTTCATATGATCTTCCCTGCAGTCGTGGGAAATACGTTCAAACGCAGACATTCAAAGCATAGAAGTCTAATATATTTGAATATCTGAATTTTTTCGCACATATGCATGCGGAAATCAATCAAAATCTGCAAACTCTGTATACTGTCTTTTAGGTATTTCCTACAATCAACCAAAATTCTGTCCAAATGCACCGTGGAATTCGAATGCTAGCACTTTTGAAAATCAAACTTCATTTAGTACAAGTTATCCAGTGATTTTTATCGATAGAAACAACATGGTCTACATGACTTGGTCACAAACTAATCAGATTATCGTTTGGTCCGAAGGAAACAGCACACCAACAAGAATTATCTCTGGTAATATGTCAAGTCCATCTGGCCTTTTTGTTACAACAGCAGGTGATATTTATATTAATAGTGATTACTCATCTTATTCTGAAGTGGATAAATGGACATTAAATTCGTCAGACAGTGTTCCGATAATATATGCATGTCACAATTGCCATGGTATTTTTATTGATATCAATAATATCATGTATTGCTCAATGCTTGGCGGAAATCAAGTTGTTACAAAATCATTATATACTAATTCAAATGCATTGACAATTGTAGCTGGTACCGGTACTGCTGGCTCTGGTCTAGATATGCTTAATCAACCTCGTGGCTTTTTTGTTGATACTAATTTAGATCTATATGTGGCAGATTCTGGAAACAATCGGATTCAACTCTTCCAATCCGGACAATTAAATGGAACAACTGTAGCTGGATTAAGTTCGCCAAATATCACAATAACACTCAACAACCCAACTGCAGTTGTTTTGGATGCAGACAAAAATATGTATATTGTGGACGCTCAATTGCATCGTATTGTTGTATCTGGACCAGGTGGCTTCCGAACTTTACTTGGTATTTACAATTCACCTGGCTCGGCAGCGAATCAATTCAATTTTCCCATTAGCATTAGTTTCGATAGTTACGGAAATATATTTGTTGTTGATTATAACAATAATAGAATTCAAAAATTTGACTTTATAACGGATTCATGTAGTAAGTCGAATAAGAAAAGATCTAAACAGAAAAATTAACTTTATTCAATTCTTATAGATAGTTCCACCACAATTACAAGTACATCAATATCAACAATGAGCAACGGTAAGAAATTTTCTTTTATTATCAATTATTGATAAATTATTTTCATCTTTAGTAAATAATCCATTAAATACAACTCAATTAAATGTATTATCAACAATATCTTCATTGACTACAGGTATGTAGAGAAGCGTATGCGTACTTGTGTGTCCGCTGGAACTAAATGAATGGGTTAGTAGTAGTTTATGAGCATTATGAAATTATTTTTCACGAAATAGTTTTTCTCTTTAATAATCGTTAAATTAGGATTACAAAAAAGTATTTGTTCATTATCATATGGAAAAGAGTCTCTTTTTGACAAAACTTATGACTTCATCAAAATGTTATGGAGTTTTGTACATGAATAAATCTTCGTTACCGACTTTGCTTCTTGTTCAAAATCTATATTTTTCGCTTAGGTGTCTCATATAATCAGCCAACATTCCTTTCATATGCGACATGGAGTGCTAATGCCATAACATTTCAAACAAATACGACACAGGGAATGCTGCCTTTCGGTATGTTTATCGATATAAATAATACAATATATGTATCTGATCGAAAAAATGGTCAAATTAAAATATGGTTCACTAATGGTACTAACGTCACAAAAACGATTTCTGGTAATTTGTCATCTTCATCCGCTCTTTTCGTTACTGTTGATGGAGGTATTTATGTTGATAATGGTCTTTATAAGGGTCAAATTGATCAATGGTCTCTACAAACAAATACGAGTATTCCTGCAATGCATGTTAATAGCAGATGTATAGGTCTCTTTGTTGATATTAATAATAATATTTATTGCTCAATGGACAGTGAACATCAAGTCGTGAGCAAATCATTGAATTTTAGTTCAAATGCATTGACAATTGTAGCTGGTACAGGCTGTCAAGGATCTGTATCAAATATGCTCGATACCCCCTATGGCATTTTTGTTGATACTAATTTGGATCTATATGTGGCAGATTCTGGAAACAATCGGATTCAACTCTTTCAACCAGGCCAATTAAATGCAATAACCGTTGCTGGACTAAGTTCGTCAAATATTACAATATCACTCAATAATCCAGTTTCAATAATTCTCGATTTCAACAAATATCTTTTCATTGTTGATAATAATAATAATCGAATTATTGGCTCAGGACCGAATGGTTTTCGATGTTTAGTAGGATGTACGAGTACAACAGGTTCAGCATCCAATCAATTAAATTTTCCGACTACCCTAAATTTTGATAGCTATGGCAATTTATTTGTTGTTGATCAAAATAATGCTCGAATTCAAAAGTTCATTCAATTAAACATCACCAGTGGTAAGTTTCGCAGAATACTATAATGAATTTACACGTATAATTTATTGTAGAACTTTCATACAATCAACCAATGTTTTGCTCCAATGCATCATGGGATCCAAATGCAATTACTTTTAGTTATAATGTTAGCATACCATCCACGGGTATGTTCATCGATACAAATAATACGATTTATATTGCTGATGGGATCAACGGCGGTCGGGTCCAAATTTGGTTAACTGGTAGTACTAATCCAACAAAGATATTATCGGGTAATTTGTCATCTACGAATGCTCTTTTCGTTTCAATTACTGGAGATATTTATATCGATAATGGTCTTCACAATGGTCGAGTTGACAAATGGAAAATAAATACAAACATAAGTGTTCCTACAATGTATGTTGATTCACAATGCATTAGCCTTTTTATCGATATTAGCAATACTCTCTATTGTTCATTAAATTTACATCATTACATTGCTAAACGATGGTTGAATGATAATTCAGATACATTTACAGTTATTGCTGGAACAAATACTTCAGGATCGAATTCAAATATGCTCAATTCTCCACACGGAATCTTTGTCGATAACAATTTGAATTTATATGTGGCAGATTTTGGAAATAATCGAATTCAACTCTTTGCATTAGGAATATCGACTGCAGTAACCATCGCTGGGAATGGTTCATCAAGCCCTACAATCACACTCAATCAACCAACTTGTATTGTACTTGACGGAGACAATCATTTCTTTATAGTGGATTCTGGCAATCATCGAATAATTGGTTCTGGACCAAATGGTTTTCAATGTCTCGTAGGATGTCAAGGAAATGGTTCAACACCCAATCAATTATCGCATCCATCTAGTCTCAGTTTTGATAGTTATGGCAATATGTTTGTTATTGATCTTGATAATAAGCGAATACAAAAATTTCTTTTATTGACAGGCTCATGTGGTGAGTACAAAATGTTTGTTTAACTATACTGATTATGCGATATTCTTTCGAATTCTTCTAATTGTTTGATTTTGATTAATCTAGATAAAAAAACAACTATCGATCTAAGTACAACACAAACTACAACAGGTTTGTTGAGAAGGATATTTTTTAATAAAATTTCATAGAATTATTTATAGAAGAAATAACAAGTTCGGCCATACAAACAAGTTCACAAAATTCCATTAACAATTCGAGTAATGATTGTAGATTTCTAGTCAAATTCAAATAGTATTTTGATTATTTTAGCATGTTTTACTCCAAAAATCACACTTATTCCTGGTACATCGACATTATTATCACCAATTCAATTTCGACGAAGTGAAGATTTCTACATCGTTTCAATTATTGAATTAAATTGTCAAAAATCATTATCAATCATTTCCCAATGGACAATCAAAACTTGTAATTTAAATTGTTCGCAACAAATCGAAATCGATCCTGAAATAAAAACAACATTTACTGAAATATCTATTTTAGCTCAAACTCTCCCATATGGTGTTTATGAATTAACATTAACAGTTACAATGCGTTATTCACCAACTTTGAAAAGTTCATCCTCTGTTTATATTCAAATAATTTCATCAAATATTCTCCCATATTTGATTCAATCAAGAACATCAATGATTACTCATGGCCATAAACAAAATCTTTTATTAGATCCCGGAACATATTCTATTAATCCTGACAATAAGATTTTCAATGCTTCTGTAAGAATTTAAGGGGTTTAAAACTTCTTCAAATTTGAATTTTGAATAGAATTGGAAATATGAATATTATTGTCGCATATATGATCTACATGAATTTCCCAATCTAAATGGTTCATTATTAACCATTGACGATCAAAGAAATGATTCGTTGAATCCATCATGTTTGTCTAATCGAACAGGATTTACCTTTAATAATATGATAAATTCATCTTTAACAATTCTTTCAAATTCTTTACAATCGAATCGAACATATCAATTTATGATTCACATGAAAAATCGTCAAAATTCATCTCTACAAGCAACTGGTTATCTCTTAGTTCAAATTGTCGATCGTTCTTCTCAAACGATTCTTATTGAGTAAAACTAATTTCACATTTTTTTCTTATCAAATCAATAAATTTTCAATTTAGCTGTGTGATTTCAACATTATGTGCATCGAATTTAGAATTTCAACTCATTAATCCAACTACACAAGTTGCTCTTTTCTCAATTTGTATTGGAAATTGTACGACACTTGAAAATATCATGTGGAATATTTATTCAGGAATAAGAAATTCATCATCAAATATGATTACGTGGACTTTATTTAATCAAACAACTATGTATGAAGATATTTGGTTTTTTGGTAAAAAAAAACAATTTTTTGAATATAAAAATATTTTTGAAATATTTTTAGGAAGAAATACAAGTAATTTTACATCAATAAATCAATTATTTCTGTCAAATTCGCAATTCATTCTTTGGAAATTTGAAGTTATTTATACATTTGTTTCCGAAACAAGTATAAGTTCATTGAATTTCGTTACCAATCAATCACCATCCAATGGTTCATGTTCTATTAATCCACTTCATGGTACAACAACAACTCTCTTTAATATTTCATGTTCCGATTGGTTTGATGACAATGGAATCAAAGATTATTCAGTTTCAGGTATTATTTGACATTCTTCAGTATAGACTACGTAAGAATAAGATCTCAAATGAGTCATTTTGAGTTAGAACTGCACAATATACAAGAGCTCGTAGTCGGGAGTAGTGAACCAGAGAAGCACTGATGACCGACGGGCAGATTCCTAAGACATATCAGATGATTGTAATGAAAACGAAAGCTGTAGTCAAAATGATGATCGACATCTGTAAGTAGTTCGATTAATAAAATGTTTTTCTCTGAATTAGTTTGGACAAATGATTTCTCACAACGTATGGTTATTGCTTATTCATCAATTTCATTATTTCAAGTACGATTTCCAGCTGGTGATAATCAAACAGGATCTCTTCACTTAATTCTTCAAATTCGAGATACATTAGATTGTATTACTGAAGTGAATATGTCTTCAATTATTATTGGACCAGATTATGTTGGTTTAACTAATCTCATCAATGATCAGAGGTAGGACGCAAGTACATGTACTTGTACTTTTTTGTACTTTTCAAGTACAACGTAGAAATACTTGTACTTAGCTCAGAGTACTTGTACTTGTACTTGTACTTGCCAGAAAATACTTGTACTTGTACTTGCACTTCTAGTAGAGTACTTCCTACTAGGGGTGGACTATTTCCGTTAATTTCCACTTAATTAAGCGATTAACGTATAAGAAACATCTTCTATTACTTCAGATGCAATTGTAGATCCATTCTGACTCCGCATCTATAGATTTATGAACGAAAACCCAAAGGTTCATGGTTAGTATCGCACAGCCGGAGTAAAACACTACCTCCTTGAAAGGAAATAAACAATCAATGCAGATCTCTGGAGGTCAAAGAAACATCGTTTTATAAGGCCCCTCTAGTCCGATTTCCAGCGAAAATAAGCTTTTGAAAAAAAATCGCCGTCATCGCTGATTGGCCGAAATCGACCAATCCGAGCACAGACAGTGGTTTCTCGCCTATTTTCAAGGGAAAAACCATGGTTAGCTATACTAGAATGATAGGCCGTACTCGATTACCCCAACATTGGTACAGGTAACGTAGGGCTTCTCTTTGAGAATAGCGAAGAAAATGGGCAAATGAATCCTGTAATCCCATTGGACCATTTTTGTATCACTTCGGAGGTTGAAATACAGGTATAAAGTACTCTACTAGAAGTACAAGTACAAGTACAAGTACAAGTACAGGTATATCCATGCACGTACAAGTACTTGTACGTGTACTTTCTGTACGTGTACTTGTCCTACCTCTGTCAATGATATTCAAAATTCATCCAATAATCTCACATCGAATTCAATTATTCGATTACTTTTCAGTGAAAATCAAAATATTGTTGGACAATTGATTACATCACTTTCACAACAATTTAATCAAATCAATATTGACAGTCTTGATTCTATTATGTCAAGTATAAGTCATCTGATAGAATAATCAATAAATTCATTATTTCTTTTACCTAGATGAAATTCCAATAACATCTGTTTCTATTACATTATTAGAAAGTCCAACTTCATTAGGAGTAAGATTTACTTCTCCTCTATATTGTATCATATTTTAAATTTAGTCACGAATTTCTTCGAATCGCTCAATGTTCAATGAATACAATAAACAAAGAAATGTTTATGCAAATGTTCGAGAATATCTCATCAATTTTATAACAAAATTAGCAATAACAACAATACCAAATAGTATAAAACTCCAAGCAACATCATTAGCACAAATCAGTCAATCAACAAATCAATTAACACGAACAACTTTAGTTAGATTTAAATAATTAAATTTTTTTAAATTAAATTTTCATTTTAGTCAATTATCGCAAATCAATGTTATCAGTTGACAATAGTTTTAAATTCACTAAGAACAAGAATTCCATTTGAAGATGTTCAAATAGCGACCAACTTTCTTATGCAATGTGCTACGAATGTTTTGAGTGTAAGATACTCTTTGAATACTTTTCAGTAACATATTTAGGTAAGTTTAGGCTGTAAATGGTCCATTACAAGAACGAATAGATGTATTGGATTCAGATTTTTTACGTTCTACGATGCTGCCTGATGATTATGACACAGATTTAGAGTTGGAATGGTCGAATTTAAGTCAGAATTTTCATATTGTTGTTGATTGAAATCTCATATTCGTATCTCTTCATATTTAGAATTGTTCGCTGATGGAAATGATTTTTCTTGGGAAACAATACAAAAAAATCGAAATATTTATTATCAAAAACAATTAGCCAATGAAATTCTTAATCGAACCACAGATATAATCACACTATTAACTTCTTCATTAAATATTCATTTAAATCTTCAACAAAATTTTCAAATTTCAACACGTCAAGTATTTATGTCTTTAGAAACGAAATTCTCTCAATCTCTTTCCAATCAACTTTTTAAACAACTTGAAAATGCTCAAATTCAATTACCAGAAAATTTCAAAATGAATCAAACCAACTATTCAAAAGTATTCATTCGTGTAAGTTCATATGATTTTCTCTTCATCGTATTTTAATTTCATTTCTCTAGTCAATAATGCAACCGTTGGCTCCATTGGGTAATTCGAAAATTTCATCGAATACAAATCTTTCAAGAACAATCTCATTTTCAATTCTCGATCAAAATCAGAATGAAATTCCTATTGAAACAAATTCAGTTGAAATGATTATTCCTCGAGATTCAAATCTCGTTTTTCCATCGATGATTTTACAAAATGTTACGTGGATCAATTCATCATTTCATAATCAATTATTTCATCTACAATATCTAAATATCACGACTACTCTCCCTAAATCAATTCATTTCGAAATTCAATCTTTAAATGCAACTCTTGCGTATTTATTTATTCATAAATTTGATCAAATACCACAGTTGAATAGTTCCATTAATCTAATCGATGGATGGAAATTATTTTGTGCTTCAAGTAAGTTGTATTCTTTTTCTCATAGAAAAGATTGGTCGAAAACTCAAATAGAGATCCGTTTGTTTTTATAAAGTTCTACGAGAAAGAGCTGAATTTCAAACGAGATTTGTTATTCAACTTTGATTTCTTATAGATTTAACAAATGAAAATATTTATACATATTTTATTGATAATCAACAAACATTCGGTCATCAAACGATCATTTTTGGATTACGAGAATTAAATTCTACAGAAATGATTAACGTTTGTTCGAATATTTCGATTTCCACTCCACCAATTACAAATGAACGATTTTCTTTTACATCAAATTATCAATTACGAATTTATACATCAGGTTGTTATTATCTTGATGAAAATCAACAATGGAAAGCAGATGGATTAATTGTATGTTGAATATTTTTCAATAAAATTCTGTTGAGATTTTCATTTAGGTGGGTCCAAAAACAAATCATAATGAAACTCAATGTTTTTCAAATCATTTAACAACATTTACTGGCGAATTTGAAATTCTACCTGCACCTATTAATTGGAATTATGTCTTTGCTAATGCTGATTTTATGAAAAACAAAACAATTTATTTGACAATCATTATTGTATTAATTATTTATATGATTCTATTGATTTATGCACGTTCTCAAGATAAAAAAGATGTTGAAAGATTAGGAGTAACTCCATTGCCTGATAATCATAGTTCCGACAAGTATTTCTATCAAATTATTGTCTTCACTGGTCAAAGAAAGAATTCCGGAACAAAATCAAAGGTAAGATATGAAATAGAACTGATAATTGAAATCGTAACCATTCAAAATTGTCTTTTTTCTTACTTGATTAACGATAGGTTCAATTTGTTCTATCGGGTGATCATGATGAATCATTGATTCGAACATTTGCTGATTCACATCGACAAATTTTCCAACGTGGTGGAATCGACGCGTTTATTATGGCTGTACCAAAGTGTCGTTGTATTTTAGAATTTTTCATAAGAAAAATTGAGTTTTTCTTTAGATCACTAGGCTTATTAAACTATGTACGTATTTGGCATGATAATACTGGTCAAGGATCGTCATCCTCGTGGTTTTTAAAGTATTTAATCATTTGTGACTTACAAACAATGGAAAAATTTCATTTTATTTGTCAACGATGGTTTGCTGTTGAGAAAGATGATGGAAAAATTGAACGTCTTTTACTTGTTGCTAATGAAAATGAAAAACATGAATTTAGTTATCTGTTATCCAAAGGTACTTATCACAGTATATCCGATGGACATTTATGGTTTTCCATATTTTCTCGTCCACCATCAAATGTTTTTACTCGTGTTCAACGATGCACATGTTGTTTTGTTTTGCTTTTTATTTCAATGCTTTTAAATATTATGTATTATGATTTATCAAATGAAGCAAAAATCAACATCAATTCCACAAATACAATGACTTTATCATTTGGCTTTTTATATATTACTCCTCAACAAGTTTGTTTACCGACAAAAAATGTTTTGTTTTCTATATATTAATTGAGGACATGTTTTAGATTATGATTGGTATCGTTATTGAAGCTTTTTCTTTGATTCCAGGTGTTTTACTTATTCAAATTTTTCGACGACTTCGTGCTCGTGGAAAATATATTTCACCATTACAACAAACGTTGTCGAAAATGAAGCCATTTTTAAATGAATTAATCGATAATCAAGAAAAGAAAAAGAAGAATAGATTTTCATTAACTTTACCTTGGTGGTGGATATTTATTGCCTATGGATTTTGTATAATCTCAGTTACTGTATCAATTCTTTTTATTTTTGCACGTGGAATTGAATTTGGTGATTCGAAAACTCAAAAATGGTTAACATCAATTCTCAGTGGATTTTTTTCTTCGATTTTGTTGACACAACCACTAAAAATCTTATGTTTGGCCATCGTTTTTGCTTGCTTTTATCAAAAATCAAATGAAGACAAAGAAGCAATTGAATATTTACATGATACTCTTGATAATGATGACGAATATCTTCATTCAATGAACGTAAATTCTGATGATATATTAAAATCAAAAGAAATATTAATTTAATTTTTTAGGAAAAATCTTTATTTACTTATCGACCACGAATTCGTGCAAATCGTTTAAATATCCATGAAGTTGCTTGTGCTCGTCGAGAACGATTAAAAGAAATTCGTATGTGGTTATTTATTCAAGACGGATTAATTTATTTATGTTTTCTAATACTTCTTTATTTTCTCACATATTTAAATCCTCAAACCAATTCATATTTTCAAGTTAATCATCTTCGAAACTATTTTCTCAATTTTAGACAGACAAATTGTGATTACACAAAGGTTCGTTATTCATTTCGTGAATATTTCTTTGAAAAAAAGGTGTTACTGCAGTTCCTATGTGATTAAAATATCTTCTGTAACACCAAGAAATACTCCTTTGAGAAATTTGCTTTGTTAATCTTTTACCCCCTGTGTTCTGTTCTGAATAGATTGCAGCGATGTCCATGACGGCAGTTTGTGTCAGACACAATTTTTAAAAAATTCGAAAGTTTCGTCATTGGCGAATATAATCGATTAGTAGTAACACCTCTCGTTTAAATTAATCACAGACATGAAAATCAAAAGATTTTTCAAAATATCATTGCGATGAACATTTCTAATAGATTGTCAGAGATGGGCAAGTCAGAGGTTTTTCCAAGTGAAGTCATTTTTTGACTTGACTTGCCCATCGCTGAATTGTCATCGTCTACCGCAGAACAGAAGATTTATTTGGAGAAAAGGATTTAAGTTTCCTATTTGAACACTTGTTTGATCTAGTTCATGTTTTACAAAATGAATATTTAGATTTCTACAATTGATGAATATTGGAATTGGTTAGAAAATAGTTTTGTTGACAAACTTCGTGCTCAACAATGGTATAATGGCGATCCCCCTCGAAATTTAAGTGGATTTATCAATGATAAATCTTCACGATTGATTGGTTGGGCAACAATGCGACAGTTACGTATTAAATATGAACTATGTCATATTCATAATCTAGTTAGATCTGAATGTCAATATGATTATAATTTTTTCAATGAAGACAAACAATCACTTGGACCCGGATGGTCAAATGAAACCAAACAAAATTACAGTTCATCTATTCGTCAATCATTTCAATATAAGTCAAGTGATGAATTGGACACATATATTTACATTGGCGATTATGCAACTTATAATGGTGGTGGTTATGTTTATGAATTTCGTGGTCGCTTATGTGATCTTCAAAGTAATTTAAGTAAACTTCATCATTTAGGATGGATTGATAGTCAAACACGAGCTATTTTTATACAATTTACTTTATATAATCCGAATGTTCAATTGTTTACATCAATGACTTTTCTTGCAGAGATTTTACCAACAGGTGGTATTTATCCAACAGCTCGATTTGAACCAATGAGTTTTTATGGTAATTTTATTGATCAAAGAATAGAATTAATTATTGTAATTATTTATATGATCATAATTATTTATTTTGTTTGGAACGAATTTCAATCTTGTATAAAACTTCAATGGAAATATTTTTGCCAGTTTTGGTCTTTAATTGAAGTTGGAATTATTGGTTGTTCATGGACAAGTCTTGGAATTTATGTATGGCGTTTGAAAGAATATGAACGAATCGGAAAATTATTTTCTAAAACAAATGGATATGTTTATATTAATTTACAATTGATTACTTATATCAATAATATTTTTACAATTTTGTTTGGTTTTTCTTGTTTTTTTGGTACTATAAAATTTATTTGTTTATGTCGTTTTAATCAACGTCTTTGTTTATTTATCGAAACACTTCGATATGCTGGAAAAGAATTATTTTCTTTTGCAATAATATTTTCATTTATATTTATGTCATTTGTTTCTTTATTTTATTTATTATTCACTTCAAAAATCTCTTCATGTTCAACTTTATTAAATACTTGTCAAATGTTACTCAAAATGATGTTAATGCAATTTAATGCATATGAATTAATTACAGCGGCAGCATTTTTGGGGCCATTTTGTTTTAGTATATTTATAATTTTAGTAGTTTTTGTCTGTTTAAGTATGTTTGTTTCGATTATTAATGATGGTTTTCGTCGTGCACGAGAAAATATTAACGATGATAATGAAGAATTGTTTTCATTTATGATAAAAAGATTTCAGCGATGGATGGGTTTCAGAAAACCTTCCAAAGAAGAGCTTCAAGAAGAAAAAGATATAATTATGCGTTCGAAATATATTGATTCAATTGAATGTTTTCCTGATAAAATTGATCGATTATTAGATGCGATTAATCGAGTAAGTCTACTTTGAAATCTACTTATTTGAATTCGCTTTTATTATATTTCATTTAGCTTTATATATCACAAAGAGCAGAAAGATCAAGAATCAATAGCATTATAGATGGATAAGTTGCTTTTCTAACAATAATCGTATATTTTATTTTGAGCCACTATGTTATTTTCACTCTTATTTATGTAAAGAATCTTTTCAAATAATAATTTATTAAGAAGGGTGCGGATGACTTATTTTAACTATATTGTCAACCCACGCTCTCGCATAGCTCTTTCTCGTAGAAAACTCGTTCTGCAGTACTGCTGATTTTATTATCTACGCATCTTGCCTATAAACTGACGTCAGATTTCATGACACCCGATCTCGATTACCCTTGGGTTAACACTTGAAAAAGAAAATAATCTTTCTGTTTTGCTTTGTTATGCGAAAATCCTATTTCATAAAATTGAATATCTGCAAGCAAAAATATGCGAAAAAGTTCATTTTGAATGTTCACAATGAACTTACATGAATCTCGCTATCATTTTGTAAATAAGTGATATCCATGAGGGTGAGAGTGTGGGTATTTTTTCTTCACTCTAAGACACGCTTACTCTAATCTTCGCACCCACACCCTTCTCAAATATCTACGATAAAACGAAGCAATAATCCCACGTGTTGTCTTTGAGAGTAGCCAATAGATTGTTGCCATTAGGTACATGTGGGGCTCAAATATATGTGTTAAAAAATTTCAAAAGTATTTGAAGTTCGTTCTCTGTTGAATCCAGACATTATCATAATCAACTTTCAATTTCGTATATCGATTATACCCGTGGTAAACGACCAGGTCAGTTTTGTTCCGATGGAGGGTTCGTGTCAGTCATTCGAACACTTTAGTAATCTTTGCATATCCTTAGACGTTTCACATGCAACAAACATACGAATGCCTTTTTCGATTTTCAGCCCCTTTTTCCGAACACGACCCTCCTTTCACTTGAGGGAACTCGGCATTATCTGAAAGCGATTTTGCCTATTTCTTTGCGTCAAGCTGTCGTTCTTTTTCGTACAAAAAGTGTAAATGTTGTCGTCAGCGAATTACTTTTGATAGATATTAAACTTAATTCTTTCTTTTCTTTGAAATATAGGATAAAACGTATTGTAAAACAATTACTTTATGTTGACAACGTCATTAAGTATTATGTAGCCAAGAGTATATACTGAAAGATAAATTAATCCAACTTATCTCTTTTTATTATTCATTGTTTCATTTAATATACGATTTTATCTGAGGGTATGCCATAGGATAATATGAATATTAAAGCGATCGATGTGAAGCTAGCACAAAACCCAACCAGAATCGAACAAAATATCACCAACCATATTACAAGCTATGAAATACCACGTCGACCCCACAAAATACAAAAAAAAGTCTTAGCTACCACGTCTATATAGCGAATTCAACTAAATCCACTGTAAACACTAACAAAATATGGCCGGACCCTCGAAAGATGGCCAATCAACTCAAAATTCAATGCTCTACCTAGCGGTGAAGTCATTCTCTCTCGGCCATACTCTATAATGTCGTTTTTCTCTATGTGTTCCTGTGTACAGTGACTGTGTTGTAGTGCGATAGAGTAGAGGTCTTGTTAGGTGGTATGGAGAAAGGTCATATGAAAGGTTACGATGTCGACTGAGATTGTTGCATGATGATTGGCTGACGCTAGGGCCATGAGGGAGAGTAGATGTATGATATGTGTCTGGCTGTTTCAGAGTTCTACTGCGGCGCACTTTTAAAAAAAGGATCGTCCCGTGTATCGGAGGGAAGATCCTTTTTTGGTTAAGTAAGATGAAGGTTCCGTATCATAGGTACCGTACGGAAACATTCGTTGCATTAGTTGTTCTCTTGGGTTAGCCACAGACTCCTTTATAGTTATCCTCCTACAGGCTCCGTATTCGGTCACTACAGAATATAGGGTGCGGGTGTTCGGAATGAGTGGTACGAAGCGTAGTTCACCCCTTTCGAACGTCCACACGCCTTCACCCACCCTTTCATCGTGACACGAACGTGAGAGTAGGTTCTAGCCAGTCCAGTAGATCCATTGCGATCAACTCTGAACAAGAAAGACGATAGAATGCGGTTTACTAAATACTATCACTTACCTAGTTAAATGCCAGACTATTGAGAACTTTCCGTCCATAGATTTGCATCGATATAGTGACGACCAGTGAGAAAAACTAGAAATAAATAGAAAATGAAAAATGCATGGATATTTATAGGGTCTCATCGGACGGTCTATTGAAAACTGGACGTCGGCTGGTGTAAAGGGCTATTTCTTTCAATGAGTCTTCTCCTTTTCCTAACTGAACCAACGACAGATATCAATGGTTTGGTAGAGGGTTCGCCGAACAGGAACAATAATTATGAGATCATTAATTGTTTTGCGGAACTTATACGTAACTACTGTCCAGTACAAAAATATATTTGCATATAAGAGTAAATTATGGGAAACCATGAGCCGCTATACGAAAGTAGGGATAGTTTGGTACAAATACTGCCAAGCCTTCATTCATTCGACGGAGTAGATAATGATTTCCCAAAGGTTATACTGAACTAATCAGAGGTACACAGATCTCGTCATAGTTTAGTGTATATTTGTCAAACCTCTGACTAATATACAAAGCCAGCAATAGTTTGGCATGAATTCTGCCGAACAGTTACTCGTTCTACGAGTTCCTTGATTGTTTTGAATAAATCCTACCGAACTTGCGATTACTGTACGAAGCTATTAACAAATCATGAGTGAGCTCACGAAAACCTTGGACGATTTTGCTAGAAATCTGGACAACCATAAGCCAAAGTACGACATTAATGATGGTTCTGCAGAAGTTGTGCACAACGTCTTTGTAGTACATGAAACTATGTACCGTTCTGTGTAATGAAAACGAAACCTTTATACGAGCTGCTGAATTCTAGATAGTTTTATGCTAAAGGTACGGAANAAAGGTTATACTGAACTAATCAGAGGCAAACAGAACTCGTCATAGTTTAGTGTATATTTGTCAAACCTCTGACTAATATACAAAGCCAGCAATAGTTTGGCATGAATTCTGTCGAATCTTACGCGAGAAAAATAAGCCGATGTTAGTTTCGTCTAAATTTCATCAAATCATGAATAAGTACACGGGATCGCTGATGATTTGGAAGAACTTCTGCCGAACAGTTACTCGTTCTACGAGTTCCTTGATAGTTTTGAATAAATCCTACCGAACTTGCGATTACTGTACGAAGCTATTGATATTTCCGCAGAAGTTTCTCTGAGCTATTGATAGTTTTGCAAAGCTATTAACAAATCATGAGTGAGCTCACGAAAACCTTGGGCGATTTTGCTAGAAATCTGGACAACCTTAAGCCAAAGTACGACATTAATGATGGTTCTACAGAAATTATGCACAACGTCTTTGTAGTACATGAAACTATGTATCGTTTTGTGTAACGAAAACGAAACCTTTATACGAGCTGCTGAATTCTAGATAGTTTTATGCTAAAGGTACGGAACCATTTCGAAGCGGGCAGTATTTTGGTTCGTTCCGTATAAAACGCACAAAACCAATACCAACTTGACTAAGACAAAAATGTTCGGTATTATATGTGCGAAACCTTGCTTTTTCTTACTGAGGTCCTAACCGTTCATTAAAAGTCGTGGGTTAGCTTTATGAACTTATACAAAGCTATGAATAGTTCTTTGTACGTGAAACCGAGTCTTCAAAGACACAATTAGATGATGAAAAGTTTCGCATGTCCTATACTGAACCTTCAGAAACATAAATGATATGCCATTGGTTGAGTACAAGATATGCAGAACCACGGTGAGTTTAGTAATGAGCATGCAAAACTTTTGGTTAATTTTCGGAATTTATAAAGATTCGTACATGCTATGCGAAACTCAGAGTCCATCAGTACTGAATATACTGAACCTTTGATAGACATACGAAACCCTGCAGGGGTTTGTATTGAATATACTGAGCTTTTAAGAATTTACAAACTCATTATTGGTTTCGACCATTCCACACGAAACCAAGTCTAGTTTAATTTAAAATGTTCTAAACTTTTCGAAAACTGGCAAACCTTCTCGACGCTACGGAACTTAAAATAGTTCGGCAGTTCAAATTACTCCTTGTTTTTTTTTGAGTGCATATCCTGTTTTTCGGCCATTTGTTCGTCTTCTGTATTTTGTCTAGATTGTAGGTTAGCTCCTCCTTACAATTCTCTAGCGATTTTCATTCGTTGGTTACAACACCCCATGATACCAAACTGAATGCGTCTAATGCTGGAATCTTGAATCTTGGATCGTCAGGTGTACTCGACTTTCTACTAACCGCACGATTGCGTTCAATGTTGTGCCGAGATAACTTTTCCGTAAGTAAAGCTGGGCACATCGCCGCCAAACTTCCACTTTCCCGCTATTCTTCTTCTCGCGAAGTAAACTAGCCATTCTTTCCACTTATCTTGACATACCGATCACCGAAGAACCCTTTTGAAGAAATATGAAGATTTATGAATGGTGCTACTCTCAAATGCTTGTCTTTTCTGCAGCGTGTCATCTTTTTCACCGACTGTCGTTCTTTTTAATTAATATTCGGCATAGCAACTGCCCAAGACGCAGCTTGTTGTCGTTTGTTAGAGAATGCTTCGTCAAATACTAGATTTTCAATACGCAAATAGTGACTCCATGTATCTGATTCACTTTGTTTTTTTTTCACTTTACTTTACTTCGCGCACGCATACTTATACATCAGGTGTACAAAGAGCTAAGGAGAGAAAATGTATAAAAGTTGGTCTAGGCAGGTAGATGTTAGCGATAACAGTAAGTACGTGGTTATCACTAACTTTTTCGTGTTCTTTCATTACATTTCATATGGCTCCATTCCACCATACATGTATAACTTGAAAGTTTAATTCAACTATTTCAAGGATTCATAGATTGAGGGTGTGTTCTAGGCATACTTGAATTCAACTTTCAAGTTTGACACTACTGGAAAGCTATAATGCGAAAATAAATAAAAAGCAAATTTACTTTTCAAATAAAACATAATTTGTAAGCTCTTTCAGAAAAGGATCAGCGAATTAATAGGATGAGCACTAATTATTTCTCACAAGCAGATAAAAAACACAAAAAGAACGTAAATTATATAGTAAACGAAACAGAAACGATTTGTTGATGTAGCGCCTCTACTAATAGGAGTTACAGCATTTGGAATACTAACTAAAGCTATCGAGCTGTTTATTGGTCTGTTTGGAAATGCATTTTGTAAATTTGACCAGATTGATACATTACTAAATGTAACAGATCCACCATTTCCACCAACAATATATCCTAAACCAAGAGAATCGGATAATGTCGGATATATGTGTGTAGATATAACTGTGCGTTCATTTGCATAAATTTCTACAAGTGAATTATCAACGAAAATATGTAAATATAAATTTTCCATTTGTGATTGATTGACATTGATCTTAGTTGTAAGTAGGCCATGCTTTGCGTATATATTAGTCTTGGTAAACTGTGTTAT